GGAAAAGAAAAGCATCAGTTAGGTCTGAGTGGTAGGAAATAGTTAGGCAGGTCAAAAACCTTCATGGGCTGTAGCACCATAGGGATGGATGGAATGAAAGCTTGTATGGCTACACATTTTTTGCCTGATGGCCCATTGGCTAACTTTTTTGCCCATAGTGGATAAATAGTTTATTTATTAATCATGTTCTTCTACCCAAAAGTCATACTTGAGGAATCATTACATGTCTAGAAATCATGTAATTAAATTTCTAAATGCTTGATTATGATGTTGTTCCTCTTTTGTTTTCATAATAATTATATGTGTGAGAGACTTTGCAATTGTAGTGATGCTTAATTTTGATTTGCCAAAATTCTCTCTCTTAAAGTCAGTTAAAAGACATCATGTTGCCACCCACATTAGATCCACTGAAAAATCCAGGGATTCAGCAAAGAACCCCAGTTTTTACAGTGAGTATTGAAGGCCCATAATTATATTATATGCTAACTTTGTATTTAAAATATTCTTTTTAGAAAATTAATAAACAATAAGCAATTCTTTAAACATTTCCTTATTTTCCAGCAAAGGAGCATCATGAAGTTTCCAGGCTAGCTTAGACTTTAAAGTTAATTACCTAATTATTTTCTCTATCACAAAAATAGAATTGGAGTATCTAGTTTTTTTTGAAAATTGTTTAATATATTGCAGGATACAAATTTTATTTTTCAAATGTTTCCCTTTAGCTTAATGATATTCTAAAACATTTTCATTTATATTGGCACTGATTATGGCCTGTCTTCTATGTTTTTTTACTTCTCATCATAAATTTAGATGGACATTTATGAAAAATTAAAAAGAAAGCTTGCAAAAAAAGTACCTCTTGAAAATATGTAGTCCTAACTTGAAAAAACTTTATAGAATGTTGATTATTTTTATATAAAAGAAAAATATATAAAATAAAATAATGAGGTTTATAAGGGAATTAGCTGTGTCAAAAATCATGTTTATAGCAGTTTCTGGATATGTATTATTTGATAAATAAAGATATCTCAGAAATTAAAGACTGTTGTGACTTCAAGAGGATGAAGTTATAGAAAAGCAGCAGGCTAGAACTACTTTGGCAGACAAAGAATTAAATATCTTTCTAGATTCAATATTCATTTCTCTTAAATGTCATGGTAATAAGGGAGAGAGATTGCAATCAAGTTAGCAAAAAAAGAAATGATGAAACAAAGAATGGGTTAACCTAAAAAAGTGAATGAAACAAAACAACGAATATATCAGTAGGAAGCCTTCATGGGCAAACAAACAACAGTAAAAACAGAATGAAATAAAAATAGCACCTAGCTGAAAAGTAGTATCCGAGAAGGCAGCAACACGTTCTTTGTTGCTTTTTTTAAAAATTCATTCTTTCAGGTTTTTCCTTACTTTGTTTCACTCATTTCCTTTTCTTTTTTTTTTCTATTCACATGTCAGCAGGAGTAAATAAGGCAATTACCTATAGACCCCATAATTTTGTAAATGAAAAAACAAAAAAATTCATAATTTTTTTTTTGAAAATAAAAATAAGAGTGAGCATATAGTGCAGAATATGTAACTGCTAATCATTTTGACCAGGATCAAGAATTTTAATGAATCCTCCCTTGCCACAAAAAATGATATAATCTTTGCATACTTATGTCTGGATAAAAAGAATAAATACTTCAACTTCAAGTAGACTGTCATGTAAGGATAATTTTAAAATTGTTTTATTTCTACACTTTTATTTGGATAATATACATTTATTCATCAAAGAACTGTGTAAAATTCAACAATTAGGTGGTTAAATATCTAAACTCTTCTACAATAAAGTTTGAACAAAAACAACCTAACTAAATAATTAATTTTATATTTAAAGACAGATATGCTCCAGCTGGCAGATCATTGCACTGAGAACCTTTCACTGTCTCCAGAAGAAGTTACATCAGAAAGTATGATAAGTTCTTGCAGTGATCGCGGTTATCGCAGTCGGGATGATGATTGCCATTATCCTGCTGAATTTGAGCATTTTGCTCAGACATCAACAACATCTGAAATTTGTTCAGAAGAAGAAATTTATCAAAAAATTACAAATGACACTGCAGATGAATACGATTTAAATGCAATGCTTTGTCAATTTGGTAAGTTTATTTTTTTAGCTGGTAGACTAATTTAGAGTAATTCCCTTTAATTTAAACCTAAATACATTTTAGCTCTTTCATTTCAGACTCAAAATGAACATGAAGAAATAAAAAAATTAAAAATTAACAGAACAGTTAACTTATAATTAGTAAGTTATTAATTTAACTGGGAAAAATTCAGATCTTATTTGGTAAAAATATTAGTTACACTGATTTGTTTTAGAATTTAAGACTTCAGTCGTCATAGCATCATTTTGTAACTTAACAAACTAATGCATAATTCAGATTGACAAATGACATTTTTTTTTTTACAAACTTCTAACAAAAAAATAATTGACACGCTAACTAGCTGATTTTAAAAAAAAGTATTTAAAAGTCTTGAAACAATAACAAGCTTTTAATACTTTTATTTAGATTTTGTTTGCTTCCTCATTACTTTAGAAACCTTCTTTAGAAGAAAGCTTAACTCAGAACTAGAAACTTTTCAAGAGTGCATGCATGCAATGCTATCTGAACAACAAACTCACATACAGAGAATAATTAATTCTGCATCCATACAGCCTGCTAAAGTCACTGTATGTATATCATTTTGCGAAATCTAAATATTTGTAGTACTATTATTAATACTCTTAACTAAAATCTGCCAAGATTTATTCAGTAGTTCTAATATTTAAATTATACAGTTGTATACAATAATTGAAAATCCATTTATTCACCCCTCATCACATAAAATAAAGCCTTCATATTTTTCAATTATTTAAATGATATTGTCATTAATAAAAAAAAAAGTAAGCACATTTCACATCTGTAAATAAATCGTTATTAAAATTGGTAAATTATTTAAAATTTAAATTTCTTTCATGTCTTGTACATATCCTGAAATTAGAGAAATCTGTGCTCTCCTAGCATAACATTGGCTGATCAAAGTATGCCAAGTGGTAAGTTGATTCCTTTTTTTTATTTTACCCAAGGTTTTAATCGGGATTGTATGCTTTATATAGGACAAGGATAAATGCATTGATAGGTTTTTTCTTTCTTTTTGTTTTGCACATTTTATATTTTAATTATTGAATGTTTCCTCTAGAAAAAAGGAAACATTTCATTATCATTTTTTTTACTTCCAAAGACCTATACATTTTGGTAAAGTTGGTCTAGCTAGATCAATTTTAGGTACCGGGTATGAGATTTTAAAAATTATTTTTGTATCATTGTTTGAAAATTATGATGCAATGCTATGATTCCTAAGTTACATTTGACAACTATTTGTATTATGGTGTCCTTTTCAATTTTAGATGTTAACAAATGTTGGCTCATGTTCATAAATTAACCACAGGGATTTTTTTAATAACACTGTCCTATTAATTTTTAAAAATAATTTATGCTTCAGATGAATCTGGCCAAAATGAAGAAAAAAAGTCAGAAACTAGGTCAGTTGCTTTTTTTTTGCTTTTTAAAATTTTGTTTGCAAACTATTCTTTTCTGTTTATCATGAGTATAATTTCAATTTCAAGTATTATATGAGTTCTCTGTCACCTTTTTTATTAAATTAAAAATATCCAATGGAATTAGATCCTTTAAGTACTTTCATTTATTATGTAACTACAAATCCCATGTGATGCCTTCAATCATCTTATAAAATCCCTTAGTAGAGTAGGGACACAGTAGGAGACATTTGATATTATTTGATCTAAATTGTTGTGAAGCTTTATTATTTTCAATGGCAGACTCTTTCAATTAATGTTTTAAATTTGAAAAAATCAGCTGTGTATGCGTGAATTCAGAAAACAAGGCTAAGACAGACGTGATAATGGAACTGCTTGCTCTTAGTTGCCAGCTGTCTGCCCTTCTTAACATGCCAAAGTTCTCATGAAATAAACAATACAACAAAGGTTTGTACACTTCTATAATTGCTTTTAAGAAACATGTTGAGAAAAAAAATATTTTCATACAGGTTTTTCTGTTTAATGTCTTTATTTATAACTGCCAACTTATATGTTTATTTTACACAACAATGCAAGAAGACAATCCATAAATATTAGACATCCTTCAGCATTTTTGTCTGGCTCAGTGTTTCTTAATTTGTGGTATATTACTTGTTGAACATTGCTTGTTCCAGACGGTAGATGCAAAGAAAATATATTTCCAGAAATTTAGTGCATTAGAAAGTCATAATTATGAAAATTCACACAGTTGCACATGCATTTTAGTGGTGATTTTGTTTATGGTGACATTTAAATTTCAATTGAGAAAATTCGTCTAAATATATTATTGAAACTGAATTTCTGAGAATATGAAATGGAAAGTAGAGATTACTTTGAGCTTAGGTTATATATTTTAAATATATATATATATAACCCAAACCCATTTCATTAATACAAAGAGTTTGATTTCAGTCATGTCAATCACTTACGCCAGGTGTCTTTTCAAGAACGGTAACTTTTTCAATGCCCAATACCGATTACATTGTATTGGTTATTTCCCTCATTACGTAATTTATAAAAGGTTATGGGCTGACGTATTGAAACGTCTTTCTCAAAATTTTACATTTAAATTAGATATATTTTGTAGCAAATATTTTTAACGGATGTATTCAATTTTTAAGAAAAAAAATCATTTAACATTTAATGCTGTACTAATATCTTTAAAGTAACTGGTTTAAACTTAAAAGTGTGTTCACTGTGGTTGTATCATCAAAAGGCCAATATTATTTTGCTTCTCATTTTACCCAGGCAGGGCCTCATTAGCGGAAGTTTATGTTTTAGACGCGCAGTTATCTTCTGCGCATATGCGTGCGCCAATAGCACATGTCTATGCAAATCACCCGTGACAACAAATAACGTCATACGCGAAGGTGCTCTCATTGCATTTGTAGTAGTCGTGTGGAAATTGAAAATACACGGTCAGACAGCGCTCATCATGCAAAGCTCACTTGGATTATTTTTTCCGTGCTAAATTATGCTCTAAATTGGATACTATTATTGTGTTTTGTGGTGAATACAGTATCATTTGTGTGTGGAAAATCGTCTTCAATCTTTATCTTGTTCGCTATCGTAAAAGTATATCCTAGCCGAGGCTAGGGGAAACGAGAGCTCAAGATGGACGCATCAGACATAGATCTTGATCTAGATCCAAATTTCGAACCCCAAACAAGAGCGCGTTCTAATACATGGCCACTGAGGCCTTCGAGGGAGTTAGAATCGCAGAGTAGTCCTGTAAATGGTGATGAATCGTCGAATGGAATAGATCAGCATGGAAGTGTTAAAGATCCCCTTGGACTAACAGCGAAAAAATGCGGTTCGCGCAGAAATGCTTGGGGAAATTTGTCATATGCTGACCTTATAACTAAAGCGATCCAGAGCTCACCAGAAAAGCGATTGACTCTGTCACAGATATATGACTGGATGGTACAGAATGTACCCTACTTTAAAGACAAGGGAGACAGCACCAGCTCCGCGGGTTGGAAGGTTTGTTATTATTTTTTACAATTTAAATCGGGCATAAACATGACATAATTCATGAATTAAATTCGAATCATGTAAATGTAGGCCGAACCCAATGCCGTTTTCCTATTACGTTAATTAAAATGACATAATTATTATTTGACCGATAATTGAAGAGTTCGGGAGGGCAGGGCCAGATTTTTTAAAAATATTTTTTTGCAAGTTTAATTAATAATTATAAGTGACTATCTACAAACACATCGCGAGTTTTAAAAATGGCTGGGCCCCCGCTCGTTTTTTTTTTTTAAACTTGAAAACAAAAAAAATGACGAATGTTCTTTTATTTCAATATATTCAATAAAGCGATTTAATTGACATATAATTATAATTAATGTATGCTGGACCCATACATGCCCAACTGTGTCAAGGGTAGACAGTATTACATTTAAACCATTTTTTTAAGAGCCATTATTTTTTATATAAATATAACATTTCAATTCTTTAAATTTTACCCTTGCTGGCCTATCTTTAGCCTGCTCACTTATTACTTGCTCAAGTGGCTTACAATTACATTCGCCCGCTTGCAGTTTGCACTGTTAGCTAAGGTTACTGCGTAATTTTTGGCATATTGCCAGGGCAAAGGTAAGCCTGTCCTTTAGCCAGAGAGGGAGAGGGGGGTGGGATGGGGAGAAATTGAGGTCACGGGAAGTTTTTTTCTTTCTTTCTGACTCTTAACCTTGCAGGAGGCTTGGTGTCTAAATATATTGCTATATTTTACATATCTTGTTTCTAGCCATTCATTTATTTAGTGGAAAGTTTTGAGGCCCATGGCCACACCCTGCTATTAAATTTAACAATAAAGAATAACCTTTCAGCAATGACTACCACCTTTATGTTTATTCAGCATTTTATGCCTTTTGTTTTTCTTTTCAAATGTATTACTTAATTTTAGCCCATATTTTAGTTAAGTTAACCTAGAGCCTATAAGGCCTTCTTTCTAGTAAAATTGTTTCATATTTATTTTTAAAAATTTAAAAAAAAAAAGACTTAATATTTTACAAAATAGCTTAGTTAAGTTTAAGCAAATTCTTAACTGAAACCTTGTCATATTGAGGCATGAATAGATTTTCTTTTGAAAAGTTTCTTACATTTGGCTATTAAGGTTGGATTGTATTTTATGGATTATCTACAACAGGAAGTTATAGATGTTAAATCAAAGGTATAGATGTTAAATTGGATTAAATGCTTGAAATCAGATTTCCTAAGTGAATTTCATTCAACATCACCAAAACAGCAACAAAAACAAATTTGGTTTTGTAATTTATTTGTGGAGCTATTCACTTGATTTGCCTGGACTTCCCAATCGATAGGCCTGTAACTTATATTTTTGATCCAACAAAAATCTCTTAAATTTTATTGAAACAAAGATGTTTTTATTATTGCAATTTAAGTGTGGTATACAAAATTTTAAGATTTATACTTCATGTACTTTTTGACAGACACGACAAGCAATAAATTCAAATCGAATAGACAGACAGAAATCCATGATTTTAATGTAAATGAAAATAAATAAAATGAGACCTGAATCAATGAATCAGAATAAATAATATAAATATTATGAAGTTTTAGTCAACAGTTATGTATCAAGGATGATTTTAAAAGTTTCCCACTACCCTCAAATACCTTATGAGAATAGACCACAGGTTCAGATGGAACAAAATATAAATATGTCTTAGGGGAGGAGGGGGGGGGGGAAATTGTTAATGCTTTATTGCAATAAATTTAATATTCTTGGTATAAAGTTCTACTTCAGCATATCCCAAATGTTGCTAAGCAAGCCTTACATTTCCAGTCCCTAAAACAAATACCTTATGAGAATAGACCACAGGTTCAGATGGAACAAAATATAAATATGTCTTAGGGGAGGAGGGGGGGGGGGGAAATTGTTAATGCTTTATTGCAATAAATTTAATATTCTTGGTATAAAGTTCTACTTCAGCATATCCCAAATGGTGCTCAGCGAGCCTTACATTTCCAGTCCCTAAAACATGAATATTTATGGTCAAATAATAATAAACTATACATTAAAACCCTCCATCGATCCTTGTTGCTATTTTGAAACTTGTCCGACAGTCCACCAAACTCAAAGGTTTGGGAAATGCTTTTCTACATTTCACAAGGATTAATGATGAAATTGTTGAACTGAACACTTTGATGTGAAGCTGGTCATTTTAAAAAAATGGATTTTATATATCATTTGTGATTAAGGTAATGAACATAAAGTAATGTGGCATGTCGTCTCATACTTTGTAACTGTGTGTGATGGAATAGTATGGATGATGTAAAAAAATTAAAATAATTCACACTAACAAAAATATTTCAATACTCTTTTTCAGAACTCTATTCGACATAATCTTTCACTGCACAGCAGATTCATGCGAATTCAAAATGAGGGTACAGGGAAAAGCTCATGGTGGGTCCTTAACCCTGATGCTAAACCAGGGAAAACCCCTAGAAGGCGTGCTGGTAGCATGGAGACCAAGAGCTATGAGAAGAAACGTGGTCGTGTACGCAAGAAGGTGGAAGCACTTCGTGCTGCCATGGAAAATGGAGGCTCATTGTCCCCTGGTGGCAGTGACGACTACCTAGATGCTTTAAATTTTGAAAATTTCCGCCCTAGAGCTAGCTCAAATGCCAGTAGTTGCGGCCGCTTGTCTCCGATTCATGCTGTTGCAGAGCCTGATCTACATGACAACCAGGTTCCTCCGATGTCCCCTATCCCCTGGGGAGCGGAGGTGACCAATTCCAGCAACCTGTACATAGGCGATGGTTACTCTGATCTTGTCGACTCCCTTGTAGATGGAATGAAACTGACAAATCAGGAAAATCTGAAGATGGATATGAGGGACCCATACATTTCAGGTGCATCTAGGGAGTTTAACGGTCAATCATCTTCATTCATGGGTGTTGACTCTGCACCATCTGGTCTGGACAACCAGTACAATCACCTGCCTGCTCCGCCTCCATACCCAAAGCAGCAACAGCAGCAGATGAATGGCCTTGACTATCCCAGGCAAGATTTCAACAACTTGCGCTTGCAACACAGATCAAGCCCAGTCACTAATGGCTCTGCAAATGGTTTCACACAGTCAAATTTGTACAATGAAGAGTATAATGAAGCTGTCATGAGTATCAAGCAGGAGGCAAAGGGCTTGTTCAGTGAAGATTACAATGATGTTGTTATGAATATTAAACAAGAGGCAAAGGGCATGTCCCCGGTGCGCCTGGCCGCTCCTAGTGCACTCTCTGTGAACACACAGCAGCAGCTAAACTCACCAGACAGATCTCAGCAGGGGAGCCCCAACACTGGCACCTACAACTCACACCTCAGCCCCCAGCCACAGTCGGGACTTGTCAACGGACAGCACTCTCTCACTCTGCTTAACTGTCAGGTCTCACCTCAGCAGGGCAGGCATCTTGCACAGCAACAACAACAGAACATCACTACGGCGACATTGCAGCAGCAGCAGGCCCTGCAGCAGGCTTCTATACTTCGTGAGGCCCTTACAAGAGGATCTTACAGGCATCCAAGCTCCAACACCCCTTCACCCACCTACTCCCCAATGGGAAACCACTCACCTCTGGGACCTACAAGCAATATGAACAATGGTCTGCTGAACATCAGCATGACACTCAACTCAGACATCAGTCCTAATCATCAGTCACTGACCTCTGGTCAGTTGCGTGTAATTAATGAAAACTTCACTGACAACCACTTCATTAATAGTAACGGTATGGGGGGAGTGTGTAATAACAATCCAGGAATGCCCCTGGATATTGACATGGAACTTATATCCGGACTGGATTACGACATGGATCAAGTGATAAAGCAGGAACTCACTCTTGAAGGAAACTTAGATTTTAATTTCGAAGCAGGTCAGAATGTAGTGCATTGACTATTGTGTTCACACTTGTCTGGATAAACTATCTTGTATTGTGAAATCTTTTTTTTTTTCTATTTCTGAATTATTATTTTTTTTTTAGATAGACAGCTGGTCAAGGAAGCAATGTTTATTTTTAAGGATGTGATACTAGTGTATACAACCATGTACAGTACAGTTGTGGGATTTATATGTATATATATATGTTTTGAACAGCAAACACAGTGTATTGGTGAACTGGAGTGAATTCTTTTTCAAAGTGGATTACTTTTTTCACGCTATCAACTGTCATCTGGCTGCATTACAAATTTCATTTTCCCATGTGTATAAATGTATGCACATGCACCCCTGGCTCAAATAGTAAGAGAAGAGATGTAGTTATTTGTTGTCATCAACACTACAGAAAGAATTTGTGTTGTGTGCATCCCAATCAGCTTTGTATTTCATGAATTACACTGGAAATATATTGAGTTAACCATAGTGGCAATACTTCAGTAAAGTAATGGTGTTATCTTAGTTGTTAACATCTCCCTTAATATTTCGTTCTAATCTGCCAGATTTTACTTCTATCTTTGCAAAATACACAAATTTAAACATTATCAAATAATGCCTGCCTTTAGGAGTATTTTATAGGCAGCTGCATAAGAGACCTGAAAACGAACACTCCCATGTCATAAGGTTTGTCACCTTAATGGTTATTTTAAATCTAACATGTAAGTAAATTTCATAACCTCTAAGGGTAGTGTGTGCTCATTACATCATTTGTTGGTTATTGCTGTGAATTTTTTTTTTTAATACCAAGCAAATATCTGTTTTCGTATTGAAAGATATAGGTGAGACAAGATCAGCATGTAGGGATAGTTTTATTATTTAATATTTCATCCGTTTTTTTGTTTTTTTTTCTTTTTAAATCTTTATAGCTCTATTTCATGATTTTTTTTTTTTTTTAAAAAGACATCTATATGCTTGTTAAAAACCTGTGAAGCTTTTGCTCAGATGATGTTAGCTCTTTCCATAATAGCTGTTTATAATAGATGTTGTAACTGTACCTTCCTGAGTCTTTTAATCTCTGCTCGTTTGTTGAAAATTTGTACCATGAATCTGGCTGTGCCTGAAATGTATAACCACTTTTAAAAATATTTTTCCATTGCTATTATTATTAATGGATGTAGTGAGACCACATTTGAGACATATCTATAATTGATAAGTCTACCTAACCGGTGGGCCCTGAGTAGGGGCAAGTTGTGACCAACTACTATGATGTGTGGCAGCACTGAATCAAGGGCATGTCTGTATTCCTTACATAATCGCAAATATGTTATTATTTTTTAAAAATTTAAGCCTTCGATGAAATACTTCTATAATAATTTAAAATCAAATACAGGGCAGTAAATAAATTTATTATTCAGAAATAAAAGAAAGCTCATAAAATTGTTCAAATATCAACATCAATTTGATTTTGTGCAGATAGTTACAATAATTATTTCAAGGAGTTTAAGAATCCTTACTTTTTTTTTTAAGGCATAGAGGTTTTTAGGTATTGCAAGAAATAAGCTCTCATACAATCTTTATTTTGTTGCATAATACTTTTCCGGTTTTAACATCTTATTTTGATCACTTTTTGTCTTTACCAGTCGTAGGTTAAAATAGTTGGTCATGTGTGAGAAATACAGTGTTGAGAATGTTTTTTCAATATTTTATTTTATTGTCGGTGCTGCAATTTAAAATGCATTTCATCACTGTTAATGGCGTGGGCGTGGGAGGATTTCTATGCTGTTCATCTTTTAAAATAAAATTCATAATCTGAAAGATATTTCTGAAAACTGTAAGCCTTATTTTCAGTGGGATTTTTTCTTTCTTCCTTTTTACTATAACTTATAACGAGGAAAGAGAGTTGTATGTTTTTTCTTCATATAATAGTACAAATTTATAATTATAATTTGGAAATTAGGTTAATAGCAATTTTTCTCTTGAAAAAGAAAAAGCATATAGTGTTGATATCTTTTTATAAAATTGTGATACCAGAGATTGAATTAAAACTCAGATTAATTCCTATAAACTTCCCCTTGTTAAAAAAAAAAAAAATTATCTAGGTCAGTAATGTTGACAAAAGTTTCCAAAGTGTCTTATGAATTATCTTATAAATCCTGTTGGACATCATGTGATACATGTAAGCTTGTTTTTTTTTTTGTTTTTTTTTTAATTTTTTGCGAATTTGGGTTTATTTTTTAATCTTTATTTTTTAAATTCAAGGTTTCCATTAATTTTTAATAATGTTGACAAAAGTTTCCAAAGTGTCTTATGAATTATCTTATAAATCCTGTTGGACATCATGTGATACATGTAAGCTTGTTTTTTTTTTTGTTTTTTTTTTAATTATGTGCGAATTGGGGTTTACTTATGAATCATTAGTGTTTAAATTCAAGGTCTCCATTAATTTTTAATAATACACCACTACTTAAGATACAAATGTAGCATGCATCCTGGAATGAATATGGGGAATGTTTTTAACGTGTAATTTATGTAGACAGCTTTTGATTAAGGATGTGTTCACCAAGATTTGGAGACCTCTAATTCACTGCACTGTAGAATATGAATAGTGACCATCATCTCATGTATTTTAACTTACGGACTTACGTTAGTAGGAATTGCTTTTTTAAAAATGTTTGACATAATTAAGTTTGAACTAGTAATACCATCAATTTTTGAATGTCAGTGTTCTTATTCAATTCTTCAATTTACTAAAAAAAAAATACTGCCAATTATTCAAGTGTTTTTTTAAGGATAAAATTCGAAAATAAATCTTATTGGAGCAGATAGGGTAGAGTTTGGATGTTACAATCTAGATAGGGCAGATATAGTGCCGAAGTAAACTCATAGAGGCTCAAGTTCATATTGTCTTTTGTCACATCAGATATTCATTATTTAGGGATGTATACTACACTATCCCTTAGTCAAATAACTTTTTAAAAAATTGTACCTTTGGGGTGGGGGGGTGTAATCAAATATATTACAATATCAGTAAATTATGGTCTTATTAAATACATGTTGTACCCTGTATTATCTTAACTGTAGACAAGGGATAAGTAGTTTTTTTATGAGAGTATATTTCTGAGTCATACAGGTATATTATTTTAGGCTTTCGTGTTATGTTAGCTGTATTTTTGTAAAATTTATATCAAATACAATAAAAAGAAGATAAGGGTGCATTTTTTTCTTCAGCAGCTCCAACAGTTTTCATAAACTTAATTTTTGTTATATGTTGAGCTTACCACCTGACCTCTCTTGGCTTCTCATGATTGATGATGTTGATGGGACTACCCTGTTTTATTTATATATTTGTTCAACCTAGTTTGTTCTTATCAAGGTAAATATGGATCACAAGTTATCAAGTATATATATTTTTAACCGTTTCAGTGACAACTCACATTGTTCTCTTTTCATTACTTCTGTTTATTTTTCAAAATAATTATAAATCTGCAATTGACATTATGCTGTGTACATTATATGTAAATATAAATTGTTTTTCCATAAAAGAACCTCAACTATCATTGTGATTTAAGTGCACCCCCTTCTGTGGCAAGTAATAATTAAGTCTTAATTCATATTGTTGCATGTTCAGATAGATGGTGGGGGGTGTGTGGGGAAGACTGCTTATCTTAAATGCTTTCGAGAACTGTGAAGCAACTTTTGCACTTTTGTTGTTTTTTAAATAGGCAATAATTATAACTGTTCAATTACCTGTTAATTTCTTTTTTGTAACAAAGATTTAATTAATGAATGCTAACAAATGGTAATGGATGTTAACAGAAGAAGAAAAATTTCCTCCTTGGAAACTAAAATCAGCATCAGGTTACATAGAAACCATTTCAGTGTAAAGATTTAAGGGATGCCCTGTTGATGTACTTTTGGCCAGGTCTCAAATTTAAGTAAAGTTACTTCTCATGCAGCCACCAGGTTCTGTTAATACTTATTCTAGACAGTTAAACGAATTAGGGTTTATTGGTTTAATAAGAGACTGAAGAGAAGTTTGGAAGGAAGCTTCAACTTTAAATTTGCACCCGCAAATAATTACAGAGCATTTAAAATACAACCTGGTTAAATTAATAATTTACCGAATATATCAAAATTGATTTAATAAAAAAAAAACTATTTTAAATATATATATATATATATTTAAAAGAAGGGGGTAGTAATATTTGAATTATTGCTCTGGATGTAAGGATGAGCTGTAGCTAAACATGTTGGTAAAGTGAGAAATGACATTATCGTGCCATATGCTAGCTCCCTACTTATCAATAAACTAAGAGTCACTGTTTAATTGTCATTTTATTCCTTGCCTTGTTTTAAATGATAGTTTAACAGCCCTGATTTGAATAATGTATCTTTAAGCATTAGCTCCTGTTAAAAAAATGAAAAGACCAAATTTCAGCGTCTGTTTGTTGTTGATTATTTCTTTTGTCTTAATGCCGAGCTCACGTATACTGCTAAATATTGAATGAACATGTCAGAAGCTTTACATTTACTACATACAAATTGGAATGCTTGACTAGCAGAAGTGCCATTATCTCTCTTTAACTTATTGCTTTGTTGTACTTATTAACTGTCTTCACTTCTAATCATTTATTATAAGATCCCATCTAGAAACTTAATCATTTTTTTTGTGTGTAAGTCAACAAGATATTCATTTAGCAAAATTAATGTGCCGTCTAGTGGAATGAAATTCAGATTTTTATGTGACGCAAATGGCATAATTATTTAAACAGTACATTCAAGTTATGAAAAAAATTGTCCAGAATATTTTTCAATGTACCATCAACCTCCTTGTCGTCCCCTACGGTACTTTTTAATATCCTCTTTCTCTGGCACATGGCCTTGCCCTACCTCAGGTTTACTACTCATATTGGATGTACTAGTGCCTTGGAAGTTATTATCTCTCATGAACTTGTCCCCATACAGTTCTTTTACTCATCTTTTACATTCACTCATTGGCCCTTGATAAGAAAAAATAAAATAAAATGTATCCAAAAGCCGTCTTCTCCCACCAACTTTTTCATTTGTATAACTGGGTCATATTTAATAGAAATAAGTTTTTGCAAATCTATTTGTAGACTGGTCTCTTTTGCAGTCTTTTTAAATGTTAATTTAAGAAATTCTGCATTGTATGGCAGGTTGCCTTTAATTTAATATAAAAAAATGTTTTGGCTTATAAAATATAGTCTGACCGAATTCCATTGGTTGCAAAAGTCAAGATTTAAAAAAAGGCTAATGAATGATTTCATTAAAAAAAAATCTTGCATAGCTATAATGTATTTAACAATGTCGACTTCTAGCAGATTTTCTATTTACACACAAACATTGGGGTTGACTATAAATTACCAAGTCCTCCCAGGTTACCACCCTTTAGTCAATATCATGGACAGTTTGCATAAACTTGTCATGAAAATGGCTTTCCCCCAAGAACCTGGGGATGTCTGGAGTAAAAAAAAAAAAAGCAACAAAAATGGTATCTAAAAAATATGTTTGTCTCAAAGAATTTTGAAGCTTTAGAACTGTGTCACTGGAAATGTTAAAAATGAATTGGCAACTTCTTTCAACTCCCCCCCCCCTTTTTTTTTTTTTTTTTTACATTTTAAAATTCTATTATTTTTTTAAAATTGTTTACAGTGATCTTTGAGTTGTATTAATCTGTTGCTGAAACCTGCTAATGTTGTTACCATGTTGTTTCACAGGTGATCCTAGCTCACATCTACCACTCTCATACTTCACCACCCATGGGTAGGAAGAGAGAGAGAGAGAATTTTATTTCTTTGTTGGAACTATATTTTTTTTTTAAACAGTCTGTGACCATCATCAAAGTGCTAAAAAAAAAATTGTTACATTATATATAGTGTTTAATTTTAATGTTACTCCATATTGCTATGTTATTATACAGTTGTGTCAGCTACATCAAAGCTCTGTACATATTCAGATTTATTCATTATTTTATTTTTGGCCTTCATTTTTATCTGATAATATAATAAATCAATAACATTTGTGTATGATGTACTCAAACTTAGTGCCATTTTGTATTGTTTTTTCTTTCATTTTACCAATTCTATAACAATAAATGTTTCCTTAAATAATTTATGTTTATGAAAGAAAATATTTATGTTAATAAAAGATAATGATGATTTATGTTGATACAGATTGATTTAAAATAATTATTTCACAAGGTTTTTAATTAAACTTAAAACTTAAACTAAGGAAGAAGAAAAAAAACAATAGTAGCATAAAATTGTATGATTTGTATTTATTCTGTGAATAATTTGACGGCATGTATTAATCTGCTGGTTTCTGTTGGACACAAGCCTGTTTGTGATACTGTGAGTGCTTCACATGATCACGTTATTTATAAGCATATCATTGTCATCATTTTCAATATTGTCAGTGTAGAAAATCATGGTGGCCACAGCACACACATTGGTGATGAGGCTTAACGCGGGTCTTGTCACGTGATCAGGCTGAAAAATACGAGTCTCGTCATTTGATCTGGCCAAAAGAAGCCTCTGTCACGTGATCAGGCTGAACACAAGTCTCAGTCACATTACACGGCTTCCTGCTCCTCGATCTACAAAATGTCTAGGAAAAATAAAAATGAAAGTTTCATTAATCTTGACTTTTAACTTTTTTTTTTGTTGACATTGTAACCGTTTCAAGTGTTGGGAGAAACTGAATGAGTCGGGTGATGGAGGCTAACTACAGACATGAATAGAGAAATAAACGATCCTAATGATTGAGTAATATTAGGGTGACCAAACGTCCCGTAAAGGCAGGATTGTCCCGTTTTTTTACGATCATACATAGTGTCCTGAAAAAGTCTCTCGGGACACCTAAATGTCCCGTTTCTAAAACCAAAAACATTTTCACATATAAGATAAGAAAGAGGTTTTAACAATGACTGGGACAACAGCCAAATATTCTTAATTTAAATCCTAGACTATAGACATTTAATTTGTTGTGTTGTATTACTATTATGTGATAAAATATGTATAAATAAATACGTATTCACTGCAACATAATTGTTTCGTTTATGATATGCATCAGAGTTTAAATTTAATTAAAAAAGTGAAGTTAAGTTAAAAAGATTTCTATGTCTCAAAATAGTTCAAATGAGCAGATTTCAATACACATTTTCCGGCGGAGGCCCCCGGACCCCTCTTTAGCTGGAGGTCATTGCCCCCCCCCCAAACAACCCTCCTTGGGTGTGTCCCGTTTTTTCCAGTTCATGATTTGTTCACCCTCAGTAAGCTAGACGTTTTTCTATATTGTGTTTTAACTGTCAAGCTCAGGAGATGAGTTACTGGCTGGTGTGGGCATTCATTGTTTCACGTCAAACTGTGTAATCAGACTTGTCCACCAAGAAAGCAAGTAACATCACACTAACAAAACTACCTTCTCTAATGATAATAATCAATCAGACTGAAATCAGATATTAGCAAAAGAGGAAAAGAATGAAACAAATAATGGGAAAACTTTGGGGAAAAAAAAAAGAACGCTCCAAAACAACGAATATGTCTGCAAGAAGCCTTCGTCAGCGAACGAGCAACAACAAAAACAGAATTACATACAAAATAACACTTCGCTGAAATGTAGCACCCGAGAGGGCACGAAGAGGATTGTAAAGCGTATAATTTGAAGCATTCTGCATTTGTAAATTTAAAAAAAATAATAATAATCTGGAGATGCCCGAGATCAGCTCGATCAGGGCACATTTTTTTCCCTAAAAGTAATGACTGAAAGATAAAATGAATCAATTTGTTCCCCCTAATTTACCAGTCCGCTCCTCCGGCTGTTAAACAATCTAAATAATCACTCCTAGTCAATAATATTGTCGCTAAGGGAGTGAAGTTGCATGCTATATATAACGACTAATTTTTTAAAATATTTTTTTTTTGCACTCGAGACTTATGACGTCTCTGA